AATGTTCATTCTTGCCATCTCCTATTTGACCACTTCCAATTTACCTTAATTCATGGACCTAAGATTTCAGGTTCCTGTGCAATACTGTTCTTTACAGCATCAGTACCAAAGTCATAAAGAGAAAAATAAATATTGTATATGAATGCATATACATGAAAACTAGAAAGATGGTACCAATGAACCTATCTGCAGGGCACCAATGGAGACACAGATATAGAGAAAGACTGATGCACACAGTGAGGAAGGTGGGCTTGGGATGAACTAAGAGAGTAGCATAGAAACGTATACATTATCATATGTAAAACAGATAGCCAGTGGGAATTGCTGTATGATGCAGGAAGCTTGAACCCAGTGCTCTGTGACAACCTAGAGAGATGGGGAGGGAAACAAGGGAGGTTCAAGAGGAATGGGACATATGTTTACCTATGGCTGATTCATGTTGATATAAGGTGGAAGTTCAGTTCAATCACTCAGTCATGTCTGGCTCTTTGCAACCCAATGGACTACAGCATGTCAGGTCTCCTTGTCCATCCCCAACTCACAGAGCTTACTCAAACTCATGTTTATCAAGTCAGTGATGCCATCCAACCATCTCATTCTCTGCCGTCCACTTTTCCTCCCGCCTTCAATCTTTACCAGCATCAGGGTCTTTTCCAGTGAGTCAGCTGTTCACATGAGGTAGCCAAGTATTGGAGCTTCAGCTTCAGTATCAGTCCTTCCATGAGTATTCAGGACTGATATCCTTTGAGATTGACTGGTTTGATCTCCTTGAAGTTCAAGGGATTCTCAAGAGTCTTCTCCAATACCACAGTTCAAAAGCATCAATTCTTCAGTGCTCAGCTTTCCTCATAGTCCAACTCTCACATCCATCCACGACTACTGGAAAAATCACAGCCTTGAGTAGAGGGACCTTTGTTGACAAAGTAATGTCTCTGCTTTTAATATGCTGTCTAGGTTGGTCATAGCTTTTCTTCCGAGGAATAAGTGTCTTTCAATTTCATGTCTGCAATCACCATCTACAGTGATTTTGGAGCCCAAGAAAATAAAGTCAGTCACTGTTTCCATTGTTCCCCCATCTATGTGCCATTAAGTGATAGGACTGGATGCCATGATCTTAGTTTTCTGAATGTTGAGCTTTAAGCCAACTTTTTCACTCTCCTCTTTCACTTTCATCAAGAGGCTCTTCAGTTCTTCTTTGCTTTCTGCCGTAAGTGTGGTTATCATCTGCATATCTGAGGTTATTGATATTTCTCCTGGAAATCTTGATGTCAGTTTATGCTTCCTCCAGTACAGTGTTTCTCATGATGTACTCTGCATATAAGTTAAATAAGCAGGGTGACAATATATAGCCTTGACATACTCCTTTCCCTATTTGGATCCAGTCTATTGTTCCATGTCCAGTTCTAACTGTTGCTCAATATCTGACCTGCATACAGATTTCTCAGGAGGCAGGTCAGGTGGTCTGATATTCCCAACTCTTTAAGAACTTTCCACAGTTTGTGTGATCCACATAGTCAAAGGTTTTGGCATAGTCAATAAAGCAGAAGTAGATGTTTTTCTGAAAGTCTCTTGCTTTTTCGATGATCCAACTGATGTTGACAATTTGATCTTTGGTTCCTCTGCCTTTTCCATATCCAGCTTGAACATCTGGAAGTTCACAGTTCACATACTCTTGAAGCCTGGCTTGGAGAATTTTGAGCACTACTTTACTAGCATGTGAGATGAGTGCAATTGTGCAGCAGTTTGAACATTCTTTTGACATTGCCTTTCTTTGCGGTTGGAATGAAAACTGACATTTTCCAGTCCTGTGGCCACTGCTGAGTTTTCCAAATTTGCTGGCATATTGAGTGCAGCACTTTCACAGCATTATCTCTTAGGATGTGAAATAGCCCAAATGGAATTCCATCACCCCCACTAGCTTTGTTCACAGTGATGGTTCCTAAGGCCCACTTGACTTTACATTACATAATGTCTGGCTCTAGATGAGTGATCACACCATTGTGGTTATCTGGGTCATGAAGATCTTTTTTGTATAGTTCTTCTATAATCTTGCCACCTCTTCTTAATATCTTGTGCTTCTGTTAGGTCCATACCATTTCAGTCCTTCATTGTGCCCATCTTTGCATGAAATGTTCCTTTGGTATCTCTAATTTTTTTTTAAGAGATCTCTAGTCTTTCTCATTCTATTGCTTTCCTCTATTTTTTTGCATTGATCACTGAGGAATGTTTTCTTATCTCTCCTTGCTCTTCTTTGCAATTCTATATTCAAATGGGTGTATCTTTCCTTTTCTCCTTTGCCTTTAGCTTCTCTTCTTTTCTCAGCTATTTTTAAGGCTTCCTCAGACAATCATTTTGCCTTTTTGCATTTCTTTTTCTTGGGGATGTTCTTGATCACTGTCTCCTGTACAATGTCATGAACCTCCATCCATAGTTCTTCAGGCACTCTACCAGATCTAATCCTTTGAATCTATTTGTCACTTCCACTGTATAATTGTAAGGGATTTGATATGGTGGAAACCAATAGAATACTGTAAAGCAATTATCCTCCAATTAAAAATAAACTTAAAAAACAAATAAACAAACAAAAATCTTTTAGGACAAAGTCCTCCTGGTCTGTCTGCAGCCTACCACTTCTATCTGTAGCCTTCTATTTCCACCTCTCCCATAACCTCCGAATCATAGGAAACAACGTTCTTGATGCCGCCAAGCCTGAACAGAGTTCCCTACATAGAGGATATCCTTCCCTCAATACTCCCTCTTTAACCTGTCTATATGCCACCCACTCTAGGCAGCTTCTGCCCATCTCTCATCTTGGTTTGCTGGCCTCTCCACACAATATTCTAGGAAAGAATAAAAACTTGCTTCGCTGAGAACAGTGGTTATCAAGTAGGACAGACAACTCTAACGTAAGTTGGAGGGGGTAATTTCCAGCATTAGGATGATCAACGGAAACTGTGAATTTTGATAAAATTTAAGAGTCTGTACAAATATTGGAAATATCTAATTTTTGAATTTGGGGATTTATGAAGGTTACAGGTTATATTCATTGTGAAAATCAAGGGTATGAAATACCATTATAATGTCCATTTCTTTCTCACATTCCACATTCCTCTGTAACATGTTAATAACAACAAAGCAAATACAAAACAGTTCACTATAACAATATCCAATATTAACATGTGTTCATAAATATCTGTCCCTTCAGAAATAAGTCTAACACTGATACTCGGTTTTGAGTGTATTTTTCATGTCATGTATCTTAATTAACTTTAATACCTTTTTCCAAGTGGAATGCTTATATTACTAAATTTTGTTGGTATAGGATGTATTCTGTGAGAACTGAAGGATAACAGACACACAGATCACAGTTGAATTACTATTCTCACTCTCAACTTCATTATGAGTTAGAAGAGACTCTAGGAGTCAGAAGCAAATAAATGTAGGGAAGTGTTAGTCACTCAGTCGTGCCTGACTCTGCGACCCCATGGACTGCAGCCCACCAGGCTCCTCTGTCCATGAGATTTTCCAGGCAAGTATACTGGAGTGGATTGCCATTTCCTTCTCCAGGGGATCTTCCCAACCCAGGGATCAAACCTGGGTCTCCTGCACTGCAAGCAGATTATTTACCGACTGAGCTACAAGGAAAGTCCAAAATGTATGGAAACAGAAGGATAAAAGGAAATCAATGAAGCTCTGATTGGGATAGTATAAAGGGAAGTTGGGACAAAAATATCTATAAGTCAGAGAAATTTTAAGAAGCAACAGAGGCTCTCCTGCTAACCTCGTAGACACAAACATGTGAACTGCTAGAGATGGGGTCAAGTGGCAAGGACCTGAGGATCTCTAGGAGCTGAAAGCACTATCCAGGAAATATTAAATGAGAAAGCAGTATTAAATGAGAAAGCAATACATGTCAATCCTATATCCACAAGTAAGTGAATTTTGCTAACTACCATGAGCCTGTAAGAGGACCGCAAACCTCAGAGAAGATCACAGGCTCAGCTACAATCTTGATTTCAGTATGTGAGACCTTGATCAGAGATTTCAACTAAGCTACACTTAGACTCCTGAACCATAGAAACTATGAGATAATATATTTGCAATGTTTTAAGCTATTAAACTTTTGGTATTTTGTGAAATAGCATTAGAAAATGAATTCATCATGTTTTAAAAAGGAAGCAAAAAGAAAAAAGGAAATACTGATCTTACATGTGTCTACTTACAAATCATCTACATTCTACATCCAACATTTGTTTTTCAGACATGCATTATCTTTTCTTTGCACCCTAATGAGAAATTCCATTTTCATGAAATTTGTACATTCAAAATTTATTATAAAAGCATTTTATCTTTGCTCTTAAATTTAATTCAAAATATATCCGAAAGAGAAAATTAACCCTAAAAATAATTTCCCTAAATCTTTGGGATCATATATTAAAATCTTTTAATTCTAGTAAATCTTTATCATATTCCATACTTAAAAATAAAAATTTAACATAATTATATCTCTTCCAGTATTATGTTAATCTCTAAAATACATCATACTAAGAAATATACTACAATGTGAGAGCATACTCACTCACTGTGCTCATTTAATCCTAACCTCAATCACACATTTTCATACAGTGTGTTAATAGGTAGAGAAAAAAGAGACTAATTTCAGAATCAAAAAGTCATATGAAATTACATAATAATGATATTAATAATTTCTCCAAAATAACAATCTGTTTTCATAGCTAATCTTGTCAGTTAGTAAACTGGGATAAAGAATTTGATGATATTGTCCATCATACAGATAAAGGGCAAAATAAGCTTCAATGATTTCAGAATGCAACAATCAAAATTTTATTCTGTGCTTTTGTCAAACAGGAAGTTTGTGATTAACTAAATTTACAAAACTCAGAATATATGTTTATATTGTCAGTATATTATACTTTTTTTATATAATTCCAAACAAAGTTTGGTGCTTTAAACAGAAATCTACTTTAAGTTTAGCCTACCTTCCACACTCAAAGTCCCCATTTTAGACTCCAAGAAGTCGAATAACGTGCTTGGCGCTGACGGCCTTGCATTTCCTAGTTCTTCTTCATCTTCAGGTCGTATTCGGCCCCGGCCTTTCCCTTTACCTGAAGACGTGAAGTAAGACACATACAGCATACATGCAAAACAAAAGGGGAATATACACTGAAATATGATCAGCAGACATCTTAAGTAAAACCTCATACACGTATTTCTTTTCATATTTTTCTGTATGACCTATATCCTTTATAGCAAAAATATTTTTAAAAGACTATATTAACTAGCACCTTTAATCTTCTAAATGGCCTATCTGGAAATTTGTTCATGTAAATTGTGTTTGAAGGAAATAAATCATTTTTATAAGATTTTTCTTTAACCAATTTTTTAATTGAAATACATTTGCTTTACAATGTTGTGGCAATCTCTACTATACAGCAAATACTTATCTTTTTAAAAGAATATATGGTTAGGACTTGAAAAATCACATAATATGCTTGACCATACAGTAATTTTAAAATAACACTAAATAAAAGTCATGTTCCTGTTAATTATTGTTTGTAGACTATTTAGTCAGTTATAAAAGTGGCCTAGTTCTAGAAATAGATTAAGTAGAGCCAGTTATTTTATATTTTCTTTATTACTCAAAACCTTATTTTATTAGACCTACTTTATTTTATATAAAGATGAAGACTATGAGACTAAGAATAACCTATATGTCTCTGGTTCCAAAACGACTGCTACCTCCACTTACCATAAAGCTAAATGAAGTTACAGACTTCACAGCAACAAAATCCAGTTTTTGTCAACAATATACATTTCTCTGAAAAGCAAACAATATTGTCTGGCACATTAAGAATTATACCTCTCAAAGGTGGACCCGTAACAGGTTTCTGTTTATTGCTGTTAAGAAGTACATTCAGTGCTGCTTCTAAGTTGTTGCCATTATCCATGAGAGCTTGCCTTGATGCTTCTTTACTAAAGCCCATTTCTGTTATATGTCTCAGAGCCTTCTCATCAACCTATAAGCAAAAAGGAAAGTTATGCCAACGGCCAATAAACAAGCAAAGTATGAGTTCTTAAATATATACTGTTTTTTAACCAAAAATTACATCTGATGTTTATGGGAAAATGTGATATTAATATATTATTTGCTTGCTGTTTTTTCATACCAATAGTCAAGAAAAGATCTGTGATATGCAAGGCTGTGCCTTGAGTACTTTCTTTGAACCATTACAAATGCAAAACAAACAAACAAAAAAAGAAACTTTATGATATGTCACTATAAAGCTTTTAAAAAAAACAGGCAATGAAAACTACCTAATGAAAAATTGTCATGGCTAATACTTCTCTGTCCTAAGGAAATACAATTTATATAGCACTTCTCAAAAAATACAAAGTATAAAAAGAAGCTAACAAAATGGTACCATCTCAGTGGCTTGGTTTTTTTTCCTACTCTCTATTGTTTCAATATTCTGCTTTATATTTATAAGCAATACTATCTATGAAGCTTTGACAGCCTATACCTCAAATTTTAAAAATCTACTTTACAAGTGTCAGAATCCCATATCTTGAAAAATCTGGACCTGAGTAGAATTAAAGGACTGTTTAAGTAACATAAACATATCCCATGAAGACATTTATCAAACCATAACTAGCTGAGAAATACACAACTTTTGTACTTTTATGAGTTGAGATGGATAGGCTTTAAGATAGTATTTAAGACAGCATGCATGTTGCTGACATCTACACTCATACCCACGTAGGCATTGATAAAAGCACAGGACTTAAAAAAAAAAAAAACCCTGTTTTAAAAACTCTGACTTCTTTAAAAACTCTGATTCTGTGAATTCAAAACACAAAATCCTTTTTAAACATAGTAATAGCTATTAATAGGTCAGAGTTACATATAAGAGAAATCTTACATCCCTGCTGTAGATATCCTAAAGTAAATGTAAAAAGGCCTGGACATTAAAACTATAATCCACCCTTCTTATTCAAAACTTATCTAAATGTGAAAAAAAAATCCTTCCAAAGGCTTTCCCTCTCCCAATTATTTCACAAGTAAATATCTAATTAAGAATACTGTCACTTATATAGAATTTAACCAAAAAACACTCTTAAGAATCAATTCATATCCAACCTTGGTATAACTTATTCTACCTTTCTTGTTAACCTGAATTGCAGTTAACCAAATTCTCATCCAAGGTGCTGGCAGGTCCATGCTCTGACAGCTTTAGGAAAAAACCTTCCTTGCCTCTTCTAGTTTGTGTTGTTTACTGGCAATCTTTGGCTTTCCTTAGTTTATAGATGCATCATTCCAGTCACACAGCCATCTTCTCACTGTGCGTCTTCATGTCAACTTTTCTCTGTATGTGTCTGCCTCTGTGTCTAAATCTCCCCTGTTTACAGGTTAAATTAGTGTCATCTTGGCTTAGGGCCCATCCTAACAACCTCTTTTTAACTTGATAATTCTGTAAAGATTCTATTTCCAAAGAAAGGCAGTCACATTTTAAGATACTGGTGCTCAAGACTTCAATCTATCTTGTTAGGTGGTAGGTTGGGTTGGGATGATGGATGGGACACAATTCAACCTATAAAATCATTTATTGTCAAAAATATTTTAAAGAAACTATCCACTGACATCCCAATCAAGTCTTTTTTTCAATTGCTGAAAATAAAGAAATGAAAACCATACAACAGGCAAAAGCACTGGGTACCTGGTCATCAGAATTTCAAACTGTCCTTTTGATTAGTCTCCTTCATTCTTAAATGACAGTTTTTATGAATAGAATTATAGATGAAGAGTTTTCCTTTCAGTACATTCAATGTATCACCCCACTGCTTCCTTGCCTTCATAGTTTTTAATGAAAAATTGGCCATTTATTGAGGATCCCTTCTATTTGATGAGTTACTTCTCTCTCATTGCTTTCAAGATATCCTGTCTCTACCTTTCAACAACTAGATTATGTGTCTTGGTGTGTCTCTGCATTTAGCCTACAGGAGACCATTGAGCTTCTCAGATTTGTAGATGTCATCAAATTTGGTAATGGGGGGGGGCATTAGTTCTTCAAATATTTTTTCTATCCCTTTTTCTTTTCAATTGAGACTCCTGTAATGTATATGCTGGTATATTTGATGGTGCCTCATTGATCCTGTAGGCTCTATTTTTCTTCATTTTTCTTTCTCATCTTAGACTGGGTAATTTCAATTGCCCTCTATTAAAGCTCAGTAATTCTTTCTTCTGCCTGCTCTTGTCTGATGCTGAACCTAAGAAAAATTTTTATTTCCACTACTGTATTTTCGAGTTCAAGAAATTCTATTTTCTTTTTTTATAATTTACCTTTATTGATATATCCTCATATATCATCCATATATTGTTCTCTTGATTTCTTTTAGCTCTTTGCCAATGGTTCCCTTCAGACCTGTATTTCTAAGACAGTTAATTTAAGGTCTTTTTTTTTTATTAAGTTCAATGCCTGGGTTTCTTCAGGGATAGTTTCTTTCAATTTCTTTCTTTTTCCTATGAATGGGTCACACTTTCTGTTTTTTGGTATGCTCTATAATTTTCTGCTGAGAACTGAAAATTCTGAATACTGTACTGGTGGCAATTTTGGAAATCAAATTCTCCCTCCTCCTCAGAGATTGGTGTTGTTACTTGATGAAGACTGCAGTTTTAAGTTTGTTTAGTAACTGTTCCAAACATTTTTGGTAAGGATTATATTCTCTGTGATCTGTGATCACTGGAGTCTTTGTTCCATTATCTCCGTAATCAGCCAGTGACTAGCCTCTTTCTTCATCCATCACCACTCTGTATGCTGCAAGAGTTTGACTTGACTCCAAAGTTGTAAAATAGTTGTTTCAGACGTTTGTCAGCTTAATAGCTATTTTGGTGGAGGAGACAATTCCTGGAACTTTCCATTTTGCCATCTTTGTGATATCACTCCCTTCTTATGCTTTTAATCCTCAAAACAATCCCAAACTGCTGGTCTTTAGTGTTCTATGGCAAGACATTCCCAGAAAACAGTTCTCAATGCACTCAAGTTAAAGCACTTCTTGAGTAAGAGACAGTGTCTTTTTCAACTTGCTATATCCACTTGAACCTGAAAACTGACTTTTTTTTACAATGAGATGGTCATATATTCAAGGAAGCAATAGTCTACCTCTGTTATAAACCCATTCTCCTTAGCTAGTGATTGATTTAGGAATGGACACATAACCTAGTTCTAGTCAATGAATCATTGATGGAATTTACCAGAGATTTCCGAAATTATTTTCTTATCTGATAAAACACCCACACACAGAGAAATGTCCCCTTTCATTCCTGCCTTTGAACTTTCTTCATGAAGATTAACACACAGAGAATCCTGTAACCCAGAGAAGAAAGCCAAGAAACCAGAGTGATGCCTACCAGAGTTCCAACATTGTTATATTGCTTAATTTGCCAATCTTTATAACTATCCAGCTCCAGATTTCTTGTTATATGAGATGACAAACCCTCTTATTTAAGCTAATCTTAGAACTCTCTAGACAAAATCACCCAAAGTCATTCAAGCTCAAAAGGTAGAGGAAAATGAATTCCTGTCAGTTCCCTTATATCTGAAGATACTGGGGCATACCCAGCAACATCTGACTTCCCATTTATCTTAAAAATCTAGTAATATTTTGCAATTGAGTCTATAATATACATCTACTGTTTCAATATTTTCCACAAAGAACAAAACAAAATGACCTCAGACAAAATCTGAGAAAAGATGTGGGAAAGGAGAGGAAAGGACAGATAACTATGTTTTTGATGCATCATCTTTTAGAAAATAATTTCCATTGAATGTTTTTTGTGTAATTTGATGACTTTTTATCAGTCCATTCCAAAAGACATCATTCACACATTAGAAAGTTAAGTAAATTTTACTTAAGTAAATTATTTTTCAAATAATCCAAATTTTCCATGAATTAAATGGAATCCTTAATGAAAGTCTTCTTAGACTTGTGACACTGTCTATAATATACTCAAAAAGTTAGTGATGGTTCTGAGAATTTAAAAACAACACTATTAAAGAAAAAAAGATGCAAACTTTGTGGTTGGTTCTTCAGTCTTACCAGTTCTCTATAGACACCTTCATGTTTTCCCTCTGATTTGTTTGCCTTTTCTTTCTGTAAAATTTCCCTATTTCGGTTACCAGCAGCACTCATGTTGAGATTACTTCTAGCACCACCACCGCCGCCTCCAAATGTCTTGGTCTTCAGATAAGAAAAAGACAAAATAAATATAAATAAACAGAATTTTAAAAAGGTTTAAAGTCTAAGTTATGACTAAAAACATCTAGCAAAACTGAAGTACTTAAGTTTCCTAATTATGTTTAACAGGAAAAAAGTGAAATGCTAACTAATTCTTTCTAAACATCTACTAGTCATAACCTCATCTTTCCACAAGTCCAGGTGAGGTAAAAAATTATATAATTATAATTTTTATATCTTCAAAGCAAATCATTAGAATAAACTTAAGTAGACAGCAATATAGAAAATAATACAAGTATTATGAAGATGAGATGTCAAAAATTATTCCAGTAAAATACTTGACTGATATCATGATACGCATGTTACAAGTCCAGCTACATGTCAAGGCTTTCTTTAGCAAGGCACCAAACCTATTTAGGAATCAGTTACATTACACCCATGATCCAGTAACAGGAACAATATTCTATATTCTATAATCGAAGAATGTAAACAAATAATACAAATTTTAATACTGGATTAAAAGTCTCATTACTGATTTATTATCTATATTAATTGCATAGTATGTTATATCTTGGGGGCTTCCCAGATGACACAAGTGGTAAAGAATCAGCTTGCCAGTGCAGGAGAGGCAGGGAAAACGCCTGGGTCGGGAAGACCCCCTGGAGAAGGAAACGGCAACCCACTCCAGTATTTCTTGCCTGGGAAATCCCCTGGACAGAGGAGCCCGGCAGGCTACAGTTCATGGGGTTACAAAGAGTCAGACATGACTGAGCGTGCATACACGGCGCCATGATACACCTTATTAACCATGTATAAACCTTCTGTAGTCCTAGTTCTTATTTTGTCTGACTTATTTGAATATTTCTTTGTGTAATGAAATTTGATCTCATTTCTGTTTTATCAAAACCACTGTGGAAACATTAGAACACTGGTTTAGAAAGATACAAATTCATGATTGAAAAGCACCTCACGGTTGTTATTTATACAATATCAAATTATGCTTCTGGTTATATAATATCTTTATAGTTTTCTAAAAAACCTAATAAAAGCAGAAGCCAACACTTGATTATTATTAGGGTAACTAGTAATATTCTTAAAGTGTCTTACAATGACTACAATAAGAAAACATTTCAGATATACATTTAAATAAGACTGAGAAATTAATTTGAATCATATGAAAATATAAAGAAATAGAACCTGAAAAACAGAAAAATGATGTAATATGACCATCAATGGACAACACGTTAAATATCTCTATAAGGTAGATGATACATCACAATATTTAAATTTAACTCAAATCAAAATTAAAACCACATCTTCAGAGATTCATTATTGGATTCATTCAAATTTTGTTAACTGCAATCCAGCAAAAAAAAAAAAAAAGATTTGAAATGTCTTAACAGTCATTATTTATGCAACCATAAGGAAAAATATGAGTTTATATTAATGTGATACAAAGTTTATCAGACCGAGAAACAATGTAGTATACGTAAGAATAGAGGCTTATTTCAGTTCAGTTGCTCAGTTGTGTCCGACTCTTTGCAACCCCATGGACTGCAGGACACCAGGCTTCCATGTCCATCATTAACTCCCAGAGCTTGCTCAAACTCATGTCCATTGAGTCGGTAATGCCATCCAACCATCTCATCCTCTGTCGCCCCTTCTCCTCCTGCCTTCAATCTTTCCCAGCATCAGGGTCTTTTCCAATGAGTCAGGTTGTTGCATCAGGTAGCCAAAGTATTGGAGTTTCAGCTTCAGCATCAGTCCTTCCAATGAACATTCAGGACTGATTTCCTTTAGGATGGACTAGTTGGACCTCCTTGTAGTCCAAGGGACCCTCAAGAGTCTTCTCCAACACCACAGTTCAAAAGCATCAATTCTTTGGCACTCAGCTTTCTTTATAGTCCAACTCTCACATCCATACATGACTAATGGAAAAACCATAGCGCTGACTAGATGGACCTTTGTCGGCAAAGTAATGTCTCTTCTTTTAACATGCTGTCTAGGCTGGTCATAGCTTTTCTTCCAGGGAGCAAATGTCTTTTAATTTCATGGCTGCAGTCGTCATCTGCAGTGATTTTGGAGCCCCCCAAAATAAAGTCTCTCACTGTTTCCACTGTTTCCCCATCCATTTGCCATGAAGTGATGGGACCAGATGCCATGATCTTCGTTTTTTGAATATTGAGTTTTAAGCCAACTTTTTCACTCTCCTCTTTCACTTTCATTAAGAGGCTCTTCAGTTGCTCTTCAATTTCTGCCATAAGGGTGGTGTCATCTGCATATCTGAAGTTATTGATATTTCTCCCAGCAATCTTGATTTCAGCTTGTGCTTCATCCAGCCTGGCATTTTGCTTGATGTACTCTGCATATAAGTTAAATAAGCAGGGTGACAATATACAGCCTTAATGTACTCCTTTCCCAATTTGGAACCAGTCCGTTGTTCCATGTCCGGTTCTAACTGTTGCTTCCTGACCTGCATATAGGTTTCTCAAGAGGCAGGGAAGGTGGTCTGATATTCCATCTCTTTCAGGATTTTCAGCAGTTTGTTGTGATCTAGAGTCATAGACTTTGGTGTAATCAATAAAGCAGAAGTAGATGTTTTTCTGTAATTGTCTTGCTTTTTCTATGATCCAGAGGATGTTGGTAATTTGATCTCTGGTTCCTCTGCCTTTTTAAAATCCATCTTGAACATCTGGAAGTTCACAGTTCACGTACTGTTGAAGCCTGGCTTGGAGAATTTTGAGCATTACTTTGCTAGAATGTGAGATGAGTGCAATTGTGCAGAAGTTTGAACATTCTTTGGCATTGCCCTTCTTTGGGATTGGAATGAAAATTGACCTTTTCCAGTCCTGTGGCCACTGCTGAGTTTTCCAAATTCACTGGCATGTTGAATGCAGCACTTTTATAACATCATCTTATAGGATTTGAAATAGCTCAAATGGAATTCCATCGCCTCCACTAGCTTGTTCGTAGTGATGCTTCCTAAGGCCCACTTGACTTCATATTCCAGGATGTCTGGCTCTAGGTGAGTGATCACACCATCGTGGTTATCTGGGTCATGAAGATCTTTTTTGTATTCTTCTTTGTATTCTCGCCGCCTCTTCTTAATATCTTCTGCTTCTGTTAGGTCCCTACCATTTCTGTCTTTTATCTGCCTATCTTTGAATGAAATGTTCCCTTGGTATCTCTAATTTTCTTGAAGAGACCTCTAGTCTTTCCCATTCTATTGTTTTCCTCTATTTAAATCTCTGCTGAGCCACTTCCTAGTTCCAGCCCTTAGGCAAGTCACTTAATGTCTACTTTCCATAAGCTCTGGGTTTCTCATCCTTAAAACAGGAAGAAGAGAATTTCCTGCTGGTCCAGTGGTTAAGTCTCCACGCTTCCACTCCACAAAGTACAGATCTGATTCCTTGTCAGGAACTAAGATCCCACATGTCACGCTGCACTGTCAACAAAAAAACCTACCTCACTGGGATAATGGGAGGGTTAAATAACATCATCACATCAAATAATGAATTCAGTAACTGGCACATGGTAAACACTCATAACAGAAAGATGGCAACATTACTGTTTTAATATAATAGAACAGAGTTACCTGAAAAGTCTGAAGCCTGACCTGTTCCAAATTAAATGTATTTCCAGAATTTAAATTCTGTAACTCCAAAAGTGCCTTTTCTTTTGGTGCCAGTGAAATAGTTCCATCTTCTGGAGACATTTCTTTATTATTTTCTTTCCATTTTATGGATTAAGGAACAAGATAAACAGCATTTTCAGAACTGCTTTTCATTGCTATAAAATAGTTGTTCCTCACTAAACATACAAATATCTAAAGACATCACAACATAAACATTACCCATAAGGTAACTGATGTGAATCAGGCATCTGTGAGAACATCATGACCATGAAACCTAAGTGGGCCTTAATGCGGTCTAGCAATCGTAGTACATTCTCCTAAGCCATTCACCTCCCAATCTTCCCAAGCACTATTTCACATGTCTCCTAGCTCCTCAAACTTCAAACATCTTCTCCCTCATTGTGACTGTATGACCATGCTTACTTCCTCACTGGAAAAACTAAAATAATCATTAAAGAACTTACATAGATTTTTACCACATCAACCCACTGATATGTTGTTTTACCACAACTACTCACTGGTATCTGTACATCTATAGTTTATCTTACCATCATCTATACAGAATGTGAAGAGAATGAACGACTTCCCTAACTCTACATTAATTTTCAAGCCATATCTTACAGAATGCTTCAACAGCCCTTGACAAATTCAATACATCACACTCCATGATATGATTTCTGTATTCTCTTGTTTAATTCCTATCTTACTGGTCACACCTTGGCTGGTTCAACTTCTTTCATTCAACTGGTAAGGTTAAAATGCTAAAGGGTTTATTCCTTATCCTCTTCCCTTCCCTTCAGCTCCCATTCCCTTGAGGATCACATGTGACCTCATGATTTTAAATATCATTCATATGCATTTCACTCTCAAATGCATACATCCATCCCAAACCTCACCCTTTACCTTACTGTCTCGCTGCCTATTAGACATTACCAGGTGGATGCCTAAAAGGCACCTCAGTGTTAACACATTAAAAACAGAACACCCTGTTCAAACTCTGTCATTTCCAATTCAAAGTAAGCAACTCTAACCTGCTAATTTTTCAGGGCAAAATCCTTGAAGTCTTTTGTAACACCTCTTCTCGCACGCTCTGTATTTAATCTCTCAGAAACTCTGATGGTTGTATTTTTCAAAATAGCTGAATCAGAACAGTTAACGCTACCTATTACAGCTGCCATCACTACCAAAACTTTTTCTCCCCCTGGACTATTTCAATAATTCCCTAACTTGTATGATATCCATCTTCCCTTTCTGAACACAACAGCCAGAATTAGACTTTCTAAATGTAGGTCAGCTGATGTACTGATGTGCTGACAACCCTACAAAGGCTCCTCATTTCCTTCTGACTGTCTTTAAGATGGCTTACAGG